CACCTTCACATGCATTTTCAATAGTGTACACACTTGAACCAGTCTACAAGTGCCCCCTTGCCTCTAAAAAGGGTGACTTATTTTAAAATCCTGGCAATTTCAAAGAAGATGAAGAAAATTAGGACTCCCATATATTTACATCCTTGGCAGGAAAGTGATGCTAATGATTAATTCACTGTAAGTGAACATGTGGCTTTCTTGAGTACAGTATCTGTTCTAGCACTTTTAAAATCAGCAGTTAACATTACTTAGTTTAGAATAAAATTAATGCTTGAGGGGAGGACAGTTTTTTTGTGGGTGATTTTAAAATATATTGCTTCTGATTAATTTATGGCATGCATTTCTAAAAGTTTTTATCATTATTTTGTACCATTTTATCACATTTGTGACTTCTCTTTTTTATGGCATTGTATGATTGTAAATTGAGTCATTTTTTCAAGTGGAAAGACAAATCCTTGTGCAGTACACAAAAATACCATGATTTAAGATATCAAATATAACAAAAAAATATAATACTGCAGTGAGTCAAAGCACAGAGATTACAATAACTGTAATAACCTGCAGTGAATCCAACCCCAGGGATTTAACATTAAACTGCTATCAGTCTGAAAACAAAGCCAGACTCTGGTTGATTGCTTTATCCACCTAAGTCAGATTTACTGAATGCTTCTCAGAGGTGTCCAGTTCAGCAAGCAGGTTTTGGGCATCAAAGTTAAGCACTGTACAGCAGCAGAAAGCAATGGAGCAGGGCAATCTGCTCTGGACAAAAATTTCAAGTGCCTGAATGAGCTGCTAACTTTGCTACTGTCTTTCTAAAGAGCAAACAGCAGAAAAATAAACAGGTCACCTCCTCTACACAACAACAACAACAAAAAATCACTGAATCACAGAAGGCTAAATATTCCCCAGCTTAGTATTTTCCAAATAAAAGATTAATAATCAGTTTTCTCAACAGTTGTATAATGTACCCCTCCTGAAGAACTGGGGAGGGTCAGAGAGACTGTATGTCTAATTTTGTTGAAATCAAGCTTTAAAGTCATGTATTGGAGAGGTTAGTAATTGTTAAAATTAGAAATTCTTTTCTATTAAAAATCTTTCGCTGTGATGAGCTTTAATGTAACAGTTGCACATATGACCAAGTAAATTACTCACGCTTCATTGCTATTTACCTTTTCATTAATATATTGTCATGAGTTACAATACCTCCAGTACATGCACTTGTATGAATCTGTCATTAACAATATACCAATTATGAAGTAAATATGAGCAGCAGTTATTGAAAACCTCTCTTAATTATCTCGATCTTTTTGATCCTGAAAAATTGCATTTGGGAATAATTTTTTAATATATAAAATAACATCTAATTGCTGGAAAATGTTTTAAGTTCCTTTCAACTGCAGGTTAAAAGATAACCATCTTTTGGGAACATGCCTCAGCATTTCCACGTATTCACCGTGGTCAAAATGAAATACCTCTGTTAGTTCTTTTGGCAGCTGAAGAAAAGAGATTCAAACCTTTTGTTACAACATTCAAGATTAAATGATCACATCTGTTGAGTAGCTTTTGAAGGATGCAGTATAGATTTGGGCAATTAGCTAGAAGCTCTTTTTTTTTTTCATTAAATTGCAGCAGTGTAGTCTCTGAAGTGTGTTAGGCTTGAGAGTTACAAATGATGTTATCAAAGTTCAAGCCACGTGATTACAACATAATTTTAACTTGCTCAAATACTCCCAGTGCAGTTTCCTTGCTGTCTAAAATAATTAAGCAGATAATGGATTTCACAGTAATGGAAAACTGTCAGGAACATTTTGAGGCATTAATGATTATCAGCATAATATGTCCTTTTACTGTTTTCATCTGAGGAAGAAACATGTAGGTTTTGCCCTTAGCAGTTCCATCTTCAGAATGAATGTTGCAAACAGTACCAGTTAATTTGCTGATGCACTGATGTGGTTTATATGACTGTCTGTACAAAATGGATTTATTTTGTTGCTTCTGCAGAAGCCATCTTTGAATTTATTCACAACAAAAAAAGGTTTCAGTTTTTCTATTCAGGTCTTACTATGCTAGAATTATGCTATGATGCAAGCTCTCTTGTGAATGATAATCCATTGCAAACAAATGGGAAACCACTTCTGCATCTACTACAGAAAGCCTTATGGCAGCTATTGCAGTTAGCTGGTACTGATCTGTGCAAATAATTTTCTTACTCATTCCATGAAATACAAAATATTTTTGACTTGACTTTTGGATAGAATTCTACCACTGAAGTGTTGGTCCCACTAAAGTGTATAAGTGATAATTCATGGTGGGCTATGATTCAACCAGTAAATAAATATTAGCTCCATATTCATTGTGTTTTCCCTCTGTTGTTTGTGTATTGAGTGAATACCCTTTAGATAGTATGCCTTCCACAGGCAGTATTTATCTTTCTATGCCCAGTAACTGCCCATGCAAGAAATGCCCAGATGCACTTTTTTAGGTGGATTCAGTTTGCTCCACATATATACATCATTTGCACTTCAAACACTGCAGCAAGACTGTAATGATTCTTAGGCTTCTTAGTGTTTTATATAGGTGCTGCATAAGTTATTGCTGTTTGAAGCTAGACACAGAATTTTACTTCAGTAAAACTGAATTTTCATTTTTTTTTTTGGATCTTCAGTAAGAATAGTTCAACTTCAGTCAGACAAGGAGGAGTGAATCCAGAAAAATACTTGTTTCACTTTTCTGCCTCACTGTGACCAGGTTATTCAGGCATTCTGACATAATCACAGTCAGCATTCAATTTGATGCTGAAGAAACTTTTCCCTCATTTTGAAGCTACCAGAGTCTTTGCTCTTAACATAAAGAGAGTTTGCTTTACCCAAGTCATTTTTCTGCAATTTCCTCAGCAACTACAAAGACACCAGGAAACAGATTCTCATGTCAAAGCTGAAGCGCATGTACAATTCCCAGAGCATCTGTTTAGTAACACAAACCAGTTCTAACAAAAAAGCTGCATTTCCTGGTTGCATAGCCATTGTAAACTTTCCAGATATTTCAGTTTCGCCTGCCCTTTCCTCAGCTGTGTGCACAGTGCAAAAATACTGTTTCAACAAGAAATCTCTCAAGCATTTCTGACTTGCTTCATGGGTGGAATTCAAGGTATTTTAACTGGTGTAGTGTTTCTGTTAGAAAGCTTAGGTTCATAAAGGCGAATTCTTCAAAATTCTTCAGTGTTAGAGTACAAAATTCTATTCAGTCATTTTGGATGTACCCTTCTTCATACAAACCAGAATAAGAAGGTCACTAATAATAAACAGTGAGCAACCAGCTTGGGAGGGGATACACAGAAATAACCAAGAGGAAAATATGTGCACACATATTTAACTGAACTTTGCCTGAATCAGGGCTTTTCCATAGGCTTCTCTGTTCTTTTAGAATCCCGACCATTAGGTACATTCTACAGAGATCACAAGACAAACATAATGTTCTTATCTTTCACAGCGTTGTCATTTGACTTCCTTTCAGAAAAGATGTAACCTGGATTCTGGTCCCTCAGTTGTGTAGGTGTTCACTGATGTGCACTTGTGAGCATGGGCAAGCACGGCAGTGGGTGGCAGCTCCTGCTCTGTGCAAGAAAGTTCTGCTCACCTTCCTGCTCCTGGGAATGGTGGATAATCCCCACCCTTTTGGTTGATGTTTAAAGGGTCATGAAGGAACTCACAACAAAGATTATTTTTTTCAGTTATGTAAGAGGAGACTTAGTTTGTGGCCACTAGGTCATACTGTCTCCTGGACAATGAAAATCATTCTTTCTCACCTCTAATGGGGTAAAGTAGGCCTGCAATCCAGCAGGAGCCTTTTGTTCAGTACGTAATGTGAAGCTTCTTAAACATTAATAATGGGTCATTCTTTTTGCTCTTGTATTTCCGTGCCTGTTGGTAACATCATCTGTTAATGGTGAACATTAAATGCTTATAAAACTATAAAGGGATCATTTCTTAACACTGATTTGTGTGACTCAAAGACACTGATGACAATCGAGGTATTTTACATACTTTATTGGTAATGAAAATATTTCTCAAAGACATGAATCCACTTACAACTTTCTTAGCTCCATCAGAAAGGAAATGAAGGTCTTCACTTTCTTCCTACTTGTTCAATAGATTGAATATTTACCTCATGCCTAAGATAAATTATTTGTCAATAGAATTACTTTAATAAAAATTTAGAGCTTGACATGCTTCAAATATCACAGACCCAGAGGGGTAACAAAATTTGGCAGGACATCCAAGATAAGAAGAAATTAACAAAGCCAGCTCAGCACAGCTCAGCAATAATACAATAGTAAACACTGAAGGCCACCAGGCTGCCCAAGATAAGAAGCCAGCTCAGCACAACTCAGCAATAGTGGAGTATTAAACACTGAATATATACTAGATAAGTGGAATATATCAAGATTAACAACATATAAATAATGGTCATCATTTTTGCTTGTGCTGGCTTTGTGGATTTACCTAGCACGCATCGTTGCACAAGTATTTAAATAACCAAACACCTTGGCTCTGTGTGTGATTGCCTTACTGCACACAGGGTGATGCATATTGATTTTTAGAACAACATACCCACTAAGAATTTAATTATGTCACCAGAAGTAGTAACATTGTCTTAAACACTGCTTTATGTTCTTATGGAGTAGACAAAGTGAAATGGAAGACTAATGAATAGGCTCAAGAAGATTTTTAAGAAATAAAAGCATGTAGAATTGTAAAAAATCTTGACCAATAATACTTCAAAAACCCTGACTTTGAATTATAAAATACAGTAGTATTACACTCAACTCATGTATTAAAATTAGAAGAACTCACAAAAAAGTGTAATCTGCATCTTGCACATCAGTTTTTCTGTTTGCATTGTTGCATTAGATTCAAGGCACAATTGTATAGGTTTGTTTTGGTTTTGTTTTTTAATTTAAAAAGAATACAAAAAATACACTACTAACAAAATGTGAAAAATAGGATTAAATGTGGTATACTTAAATTTCCATTATCAGGTATCTTCTGGGCATGGACCAGAAATTAGTATAACATTGTCCACTCCAATTTCTCCAGTTTTACCCTTCCCACGTTCTGATTCAAAAGTGACCTGTCATAAGAAAAGATATGTATTAAGGGTGAAAATATAGTTTATTACTTAGCAACTCCTAATTAGTTATAATGCTATAAATGAAGAATATTTTATTACAACATAGGACTTAATGACTTGAATCTTTGCTATTTTTAAATCTTTTGTGCATTATTTGAACTAGATTTAAAATCCCCTGCACAGATTTACAATACCAGATGGATTACTTTAATAAGATTATTTACTTTTATTGTAAAAAAATGCAAATTGAGTGAAATCCTCTTATAATAATGTAGTTTCATCGCAGCATGAGATGCTCATTAATTTCCTTTATTCAAGACATTACAACTGCTCATTTTTGATCTGTTTGGATCCTCAGGTTTTGTGTCCCTCTCCTATATATATTTACACCCTCTCGTATGTATTGAGTATAGTATGTATGCTATATATAAAGAGGGGGATTCTTTTTATGAATAGGATGTCTGGGTTTTTATTTTATATTCTGATTCTCATTTATCTAAGGGCTTTTCTACATCATTCCAGCTGTGCGAAGGACCTTTAAAAGGGCTTGCATTTCCTTTATGTTCACTGTATTCAATTATACAGTAGGAGCCTTTACACAGCACTGAAAATGTTCCATCACACAAATGGAAAGCAGGCCCCAGAATTTCGAGGAGAAACTGGCTGAAGTCCTGACTGAGGCAGTTTCAGGCACAAATCAGTGCCCAGTGTTCCCTGTTGGTATGCCCTGCTCCTCTGGTGATGGGCCTCCTTTGATTATACATGATGCCTCCTTTTCCTCAGATGGTCTGGTTTAGTGTGGTTTGAGAGTAACCTCTTCTATGAAATGAAAAATTTTCATTTTTCTAGGCATGTATGTAGGCTTCTTTTGTATGAGGTATTAAGGGCAGATTTTGATTACTTGTGTTAATTTATGATGTGATGCAGTATCTTTACAAAATGACAGAATTGCTGGCATCAGTATTCTAACCAGTTGGGGTGATTGTTCTGAAATTACAATCAGGTGATAACTTTATTGCCTCCTAAAATGTGGGCTCCTGTTTTCCATTTCAGATAAGCCTTTTGGTTGCTGATGCCTATAAAACAGTTGGTGGAACACTTGAGAACTAGGAAATCAAACCAGCATGTTCATTATGGCAATTGGCTAATAAACTGTGTCATACTTACACTGTTGGTTGTTTCAGCCCCCTGAAATATCTCTATTTTTCCAGTTCTCCACTTTTCATCTTTTTCTTTGTTCTCTTCCCAGACAGGAGCAGTTTTTTTGTTAGCCAGGAACACTCGAAGCTTTCCCACTTTCTCACCAGCAAGCCGATAACTGAAAATCAGGCAGTAGATGCTCTTTGGTTTGAGGTCAGTGAGGAGAAGTTTTAAACGCCCCACATCGTTCTTGTGCCCCACAAAAGCTGGAACTGCCATGTAGTAGCCATCACCTAGTAAAAAGAAAATAGTTTTTAAAAAATTATCTTTAATGCACTTGTGTTATTTATTAGCAATTTGAATACGTTTGCTAAGAAAATAAGGGGAAGCTGAAGGTAGTTTACTTGCATAATTTAAAATCACATTGGAGAAAAGCAGCAGGGAGTGTACTTAGCAAGAAATAAACTTATACTGTTGGAAGTCAGATCAGTTTACAGAGATGAGTTTCTATTTCACTGGCAATTACAGTCATTCTTCCTTGCACTATCTTTTGAAGGCAAAACCATCTGTTTTCCAAATGCAAGTCTGAAACATGCTGCTGTGCCTCTGTGGTCAGATTATTTCAGTACTTGAGCTAGGTCAATATTCTCTCCACTGTCCTCTGCATTGATGACAAATTCACAAGGGAACTGACAGCTTATTTCCCATGTCCTGGAAGACCAATGAAGTGACAGACACACACAAAGTCTTAAAGGAATAAAACATCTGGGGCCATAAATGAAGTCATAATCAGCAGAAGTTCAGGGAGACAGGATAAGGCCAGGATAAGGTTTTCCTGGAAGTGACAGCACAGAGAAGGGATTTAGGGAATTATGTGGAGCAGGAGAGGAAGGATTAGTGAAGAAAGACTAACATGGAAAGACTCTAAGAGGAAGAGAATGTGAGTGTGGGAACTGGTGTAAGCAGCCTGCAGGATCTGTAGGATCCACTGGTCACTACTGCAGCACTTCTGCAACATTTCTGTGTCATAGGGAAAGAGAGATCCTTTCAAACAAACTCGTCCAGCCCCACCTTTTTATGTGCATCCACTCAGCAGCCCCACATTGCTCTCATGGAGCTCTTTTTCAGGTTTCAGCAGGCTCCCATTGGTACCTGTTCATGTGTTGATTGTTCTTGAATAGGGCCCTTGCCCTTGGCTTATTCTGAGTTTGTCTTACAGTTTGAGATTGAGCAGTTATCCCAGTGATATTTAAACCTTGTAGGTGACTACATTGTCACATCCATCTAAATGACAGATGTGTGATTAATGTCCTACCAATCTTGGAGAGACACAACAAGTAGTCAATAAGGTTTCCATTGCCTTGTAGTTTGCAATTCTGAACAGTTATGTTCTAATAATTTTTCTTACATTTTGATTTATTTGTGTTGATATATATTGCTGATTACTATTTTCTATTGGACATTTCAAAGAAACAATATCCATTCCTAGCATCCTCTGCCTCTTTTCTTCTATTATAAAGATAACCCACTAATAGAAAAGAAAAATCCTGGATTCTGTTTCCCCTCCCCCCCTTTTTTGCAGAGGGTAAGCCATCAAATCAAAGCCTATCTAGATGGCAGATATCTGAATACCTCTATCTCGATCAGCAGGATTCCAGTCAAAGTCATCATCAGCATCTTGCTTCCAGTCACAAACCCCTCGACTGAAGCTGCAATCAACTGAAAAAAAAATTGGCAGAGATAATAGGAGCACTTAGGAGCATATCCTAAGTACTGTTAGAACATTTTGCTTTTTATTCATGCAGTTATTAATGTACAGATCATTCTGAAATTTTAATCTGAATTCAGATAGTGTTGACCAAGATGCAACTGCCAAAAATCAAAATATTATGTAGTAATCCTTTTTTAGCTCAGTGTCTTTTTACTCACACCTGCACATGAGTTTGTATGCTGTGACTTCTGTTTATCAATGGCCTGCAAATCCCCAAGTATAGGTGGAGCTGTTAGTGTTGAACTCTAGCATCAGGAAATGTTTGAGATCTGCCAGCTTTAGAGCTCTCCCTTCTCCATTTGTTACACTGCTGTAGTTGCAATCAGCTCAAGTTCCATTTCCATCCTTTGAGAGAAACTGGCCTCCCATAAGAAGAATCCCTTACATCAGCACCTGATAATCCAACTACACGGAGCTGGGAATAGCCCAGATCAGTTGACCTTTAGAGCACCCTGAAAAGGGTGTCAGCCAGAGCACACCACAGCCTTCATGACTGTGCAGATGAAAAGCATCACACACACAAAGGGACACTGTGCAATGCAAGCATGACAGATCAGATTAAGAGTAATACATCAGCCATCTGAATTTCCTCAGAAAGAAGCATCCTTCTTGTTATTTTAATGTATTTTATCATGAGACAGAGACATGCAGTGCATGGCATTTAGAGAGCTTTGTTGTCTAAATCCATTGTTTCTGAGACTACTGCTTTCTAAATTGGAAAAAAAATGTCAACCAGCACATCTATCTATTTTGTTTGTTTAAGATTATTGTGTGCTATGCAATGTTTTCATTTCATAGACAATAGAAGCTACTTTTTTTTTTCATGACTATGAAATTATTCAAGTGAAATTCTGTTGATTCAATTGCAAGTCAAGTTCTAATATGGGGAAACTTTCTATGTATGGGTTATAAACAGTAAAAGTATGCTTGGAAAAGGACACGTTGGAACTGGTAGCATAGTTTGGCCAGATACTGTCTCCAACATGTTCACAAAATCTTTGGTTTATATTAAAGGCTTTTAAACTAGTTCTGACTTAGCTAACACAGGTTGTCACCAAAAGATACAATACATGGGAAATTAAATACTGTATGATAAAAGTAAGCCACCTTCTTGCTCTGGTCTCGACACTGGAATTTTCCTCTGTGCCAGGTGAGGGCCAAAGGCAGCTGCTTCTTTTACCTTGGGAGCTAGGGAAAACAACTTGTCAAGTACTGAGTCATCACAGGAACAGAAAATGGAACTTTATTCCTTTATACCAGCTAACATAATTTATTTAAATAACTCAATATATGTATTTTCCACTCCACCACAAAACTCATATTCCTAACAGCAATTAGATACTCTGAATTTTAAAAAATTTGCTTAAATTGCTGTTCTCCACAGCACCGAGCCTTCTAACCTATAAGCACTGGAGCTACAGCTCCATTGAATTTCAGATTCACAAGATAAACTACACATAAAATGGTGATTTTTCTTCAGTGGCCTGATCTGCTTTCTTGCTATAATGATCAAATGGAACTGAACTCTACCAGACAGCAGGGACAGTGACTTGGAAGCAGTTTGCCAACAGCAGCCTCAAAAAATGGATAATGTCAGAGACTTTGTAATTAGGGCACCAAAGGCCCACAGATCTGCATTCAGGGCAGTGACAGCTGGTGCTGACTGGAAGAGTTGGTAAAGCAGCACCAATGAATGTTAGGGGTGTTCTCTAAGACACTGGCCTGAAAGAGGTGGTTACTCAAGAAGCATTAGTTCTCAGCCTCAGAAACCAAGGGAAATCCTCTTCTGTCTGGTGAGACAGAGGATTCCATATTCTTGTTTACACTAAGTGATCTCTAGATTACTATAAGTCGTTAAAAATTCTATAATTAAGTTTGTTTTGTATTAAGTGATTAATAGATAAGTACACTCACAAAAAAAATAATCATAAATCTCAACTTCTTTATGCATACCCTGTGAAAATAACTAATCACACATGAGATAAGGGAAAGACTGGCTTCCAGTGTTCTATCCTTTGCAAACACATAAACAGGTGATAGCTGTGATATGTTCATGACCACCTATGAAAACAGGAGGAGTTTAAAAGTGCCATTTTAGAGGAGTGAGAAAGAAGCCTTTGGATTACTGCTTGGAGAATGTATTAGTGGAAAGCCTGAAACAACTGAAGTTCATTTTTCAGCCCCATCCCATGGGCAGATGTGCTAAGAAAAGCTATGGAAATTACTTTTCCCTACTCAGCATTGCATCATATATGGAAATGCCAAATATTTTGAAAGTCATTATTTTCACAAGGACGCACATTTGTTCAGAGGGGAGGTTTTTTTCCCATGAGTTTGACTGAGCTAGGGCTTTCCATTTAAATACTCCAACATGCTCACACATAGTCAGTTTTAAGAATATACTCAGAAGAAACTGCAATCCAGAGCTTCCTAGCACCATAAAGGCTATGCCATCCACTTAACCTTTCTTCTTCTTCAAAACTGTCAAAGATTGCTCTGTGTACACCAGTGAAAACACACACTAACAAAGAGGCCTGGAGGCACTTCCAGAAGCGCTGAATTGGAGAAGATTCATGCAATCTTATGAGCTTTCTGATGAATTGCCAGAGCGTGTCATCTCTTGCTGTTCTTGTAGCTTCCCCCTGACCTAGTCCATTGCTTAGATCACCTGGATAATATTCATACTTAAGGCAAGAATTAATATACATCTTTCTCCAAATTAATTTTTGTTTACATAGACACATTTAGGAATAGGCACATCCAGACTGGTGTTAAGTTTATTCTCAAGCCATAAACTTGGCCTTGTACTTGGTGAAAGAGGCTCAGGCTGTGAAAACCTTTGCCAAAATGAAGACAGCTATGAAAATATGATCAGTTCTGGAAAGAGTGGAGTGATTTAACAGAAGACAACAGCTGCCAGAATGATTTATTTGTTAAGTTATTGAATTATACTTGAATTCACTTGAGAGAGATACGTGCAGGTGTAGCCATGTGCTATGAAGCGAAGAACAATTATGGACAGAAAAAGAGTCCAGTTTTGTTTCCAAATCTATTTTTGTTTTCAGTCAGGCATTAAAATCAGGTTTTGCACTCACTGAAAGCTATCAGCTGCATATTATGAGAAACTGCAAGCTTCAGCTTACAGAAAGGTTTCAAATATACCTTACTGTTTGAAAAGTACCTATATCTTATTCAGATCATCCTCACGCACAGCCAGGATCCAAAGTTTACTCCCTCATAAGTAATAGGCAGGAGTCATAATTAATCATTTTAGCTCTTCTGCTATCAAGTGGTCTTGTAAAAAGGCAGGTCTCCTCTCATGGTCCCTAAGAGCAAGCTCTCACCAGCAAAAGCACACATATGTCCCACTCTAGGCACAGCAAAGTCCATCCTTTTTTTGTACTGCGGATGCCCTCCCATCAACTTATATGCAGCAACAGCTGATAGGTAATCTCCACATACAAACCCCTTCATATCATGGTGCCACATGTTCTTAACCACTGATGTCATCAAACCCATTAAAAAAAACAAAACCCAGAAAAACAGAGTGGGGACTGTAAAAAAAAAAAAATCAGGCAGAATATAAGACGTAGTAAATTTAACTCAAGCTTCCTATGTATATGGTATACCACTAGGTTGGACTCACAGGAATATACCATTTCTCTGCTACCATATCCTGCTCTGAAAGAATTGCATTTGCCAGAAGTCTGACATGTATAGCTATGAACTGAGCTGTGGTGTGAGCATTAATAGCTCACAGAGTGGTGTAATTACCAGAAAAGAATGAGAGCAAACATCATGATTAACTAAAGTAATTCTCTTGCTCAGCATCAAGAGCTGTGAAGCCATAAGGGAAACAGTCCACTTTTAGTATTGCCAAATACTAATCCCTCTTTATCATTCCTGATGATACCAAAGGAAGTGTCTCTGTGTAATAAAATGGCTACATGATACTACAGGAGTTCTAAGCATGATGTGAATTTCATAAACTGATGAAGTACAGAATATAGAATTTAGTTGCAGTTGGCAATATCATTCTGAATTACCAATGACACCCAAAAAGCAATAAAGTGTTAGAAACTGTCAGAATTAAGGTTGTGCTTAGTTATTTCAGTGGAGCTTGAGTGTAGCATCTCTGCAATCCTTGCTTGTATAACCAAGTACTTTGGCCCAGCTCTCTGTGTCTTCTCCCATATGCAGAAAGGGCACTTCTCATGTAGTAAAGAGCTTTCCAATACTATGGTTTGCTCTCATTTTCACTAAACTATTTTATAATAATGAATAAATAATTAATGATGAATATTACTATCAATAAATAATTAGCTTATCAATAAATAAATACTCATATTTATTAAACGGCACCTTTCACAAGAGGACACATTGTTCTTTCACATTGGACAAGGCAAGAATCCCATGGAAAATAGTAATTTGAAGGAATTTCAAACTGTATCATAAGATACAAAAATATAAGAAAAAAATCTAAGTTTTCATTGATGACCTTAGTTTTGACATTTCTTACATGCTGTGGGCTTCACTTTGTTGTCTTTAGCTATTGTGTGAGTTTTTTTAAAAAAATCGGTAAATAGCAATTCTCACGAAGGTCCAGTATTTTGGTAGTTAGGCCTATTTTAATAATTTCCATCTCCATATATTTCCCTTTTTTCCTACAATATTTTTCTATGGCTCCCTATGTATTTATTATGTAGTAAAACTACTACAATAAAATAATACATCAATTTAAAGAGACTTTTCTATTTTTTCCTAATTAACTACTCTTCCCAGAAGACAAACAATGCCAATATTAATAATACAAAAGGCAGATGTTATGTGAATATTTGAGGGGATTATATGGAGGAATTTAATGTTGTAGTAAAGGAATCTGCTGAATAGACATCAACAAAGAAAGAAAAAAATGTACAAATTTATGAGCTGTAAATTTGAGCTAATGATGTTCTCTGAAGGATCACTCAATATCATTAAAATTGAAAGTGTTTTTAAAGCCAAATGTTCAAGCAATTAAACACCTGAATAATGACTGAATTTTTAAGATAACAAAGATCAAGTACAGCACATGGAAATTTAAAAGGAAGGAAAACACAGTATCCTGAAATGAAAATGAAAAAGTCACAATGCTTTAAGTCCTTGAATCACAGTTGGTGTCAAACAAGAAAGCCACAGATAATACAGAGTTCACAAACTTAATGAAACTGCATCTTGAGCATGCTGCTATCTCTGCATGAAGCAGCACACCAACTTTCTGCCAAAATCCCCTCGCAAAATAAAATCTCTCTAACAAATTCAGCATATTAATCTCACATCTATAAGGGAAAATTCCGGCCAGATGTGACTGGAACAAAGGCAGTATAGGCAAAACTACAGATGAACCACAATGTTTTAATATTTTCAAGCAGTAATATTGATTGTTACTGCTGCCGGCTGTAGTGTTAATTTTTGTAGAAACAAGTAGACTCTGCCTCTCTCTAACCCAGGTATATAGTGTTCAAATGTCCTAGTTTGGTTGGGAAGGCCCTTGAAAAAGAATCTCACCAATCATCAGGACAACAATATGTTATTTGGATTTTCCTATGGACAGAGGATTTCCCCTCTGTGCCCTCACTCAAACAGAAATCTGCATTCCAAATAGTGTAGCACAGAGTACTCAACCGGAAGGTTGCATAATCCCCACTTTGCAATTGCATCAGAACCCGTAGCCTGCTACAGGAGACCGAGTTCTCCTTGCATCACCAGGCAGAGAGCAGAGCCCTTTGTCCTTCCAACCAAAACCCAGGGTGACCACACCCTGGGGGCAGTATTCCTGGCAATCCTTCCTGACCTGTCCAAGCAAGCTGAAAAAGACACCTGTTGAGATGTCTGAGATCCATCCATCCATCCATCCATCCATCCATCCATCCATCCATCCATCCATCCATCCATCCATCCATCCATCCATCCAGTGTGTCCTCATTTGTTTTGTAGTAGGAAGTGCAAAACTTGCCTTTTACTGCAGTGGAAAGTGCAAAACTTGCCTTTTACTGCAAGACATCTTCCTAAGCAGTCATCCCAAATCCATAATGTTGCATGAGGCTTTTCTCTCCCTTTCCATCTGCTTTTCTTGAACTTTATATTGTTCCTGTCAGTCTACATGCATGGCCTGGCCAGATCCCTTTAACAGCAGTGGTGCCCTTCAATTAATGGGTCATTCTCCCCATTTTGGTATTGTCAGCAAATTTGAAACATGCCATTAGCACTCACTGTTAATATTTGCAGGAAGGGAGGAGTTGGGTGAGCAAAGTCCTGATTTTGTTCTGTTTATCAGCTCTCTAGAATAATTTGAGGAAGCAATATTAGTCTATATCCTCAACTTAAACTGAAACAGGCCAATTACCACTGAAAACAAAAAATGAAGGCAATTTTAGGAGAATGCCTTTGGCAAGGAAGCTTGTATTCTCCACTGTATTAAGTGAATAATTACATTTTTTTCTTGGCTGTCTTACAGAATTACAATATTACAGACCATTTTTTTTTCCAGAGGACTTTAAAATTATCCTTCCTTTAAAAAATATATACTTATCTCTCTTTCCAGGTTAAATAGCAATAAACTGAATGTTAATTTAATTTTCTCATTTTTATTATTATAATTTGAATTGCTGTGGTATAGTATTTATTATTTTTCTATACTTTGGGAAGAGAAAATGTAATGAATGAAATATTGAAAGTGTGTGTTCTTCATTGTAACTATTTTTTCCACTACTTTGAAGAATGTTTGACTGAGACAACTGTACTAAAAACCAGTTATAATAATAGAATAGCTTCAGTTGGAAGGAAACTTAAAGATCAACCAGTTCCAATATGCTGTACAATTTCTTGCTGTGTTTTTCAAAGTCTTCAAATGTATTTTCAAAAGCATTAACTAGAACCTAACCATCTTATGATTCTATGATTCATTTTCCACAAGTAAATTCTGATAAAGTGTAATGTTTTGTGATGATTTTTTAGTTTAGACATATTTACATTGAAGCCAGATACTTTAAAAAACAAACAAACTTACAAAAGACATCCCCTCTAAGGCTTCGTTCATCAATTTGATTTTCAAAATCTTCCTTCTGCTCTTCATCTGACTCATCAGCCTCCTCTTCTGCAGCAGCTGCAGTTTCTTTCTCTTCCTCACTGTAGCTCCCACCAAGATCAATACCACCTTCATAGTCCAGCAACTGCAAGTGGGTCTTAGAAGGTGGGGTCACAGCTGCTTCTGGGATTGCATTCTTGATCGTTTTATGCTTTTTCACACTGCTTTTTTGTGCAAGAAGTTTCTTAATTGTGTCCTTAGCTGTTCCAGGGCCTCTTGCGATTTCCTTCACTGACTTTTCAGGGATAACTAGAACCAAGAAGAAAATAGAAAATATTAATCTAAGGAATCATTCAGCAATGACAATGTTTTTAAATGGGACTGAGGTGTCCTTTACAAGGTCAGGAGAGCCACAGAATTAAATTCTCTACTACGAGATGTAAGTTCAGTTCTGCACAGAACTGAACACACACACGCACATGTTTGTTCAGCTCTGTACTACTGACAGCTCTGTCTGAGTTACAGTGAAAAGACCAAAGCAACCCTCAGTAATGATCTCTGGACTCCTATGTAGCACATGGGTAACACAGTTCATACAGCCCCTTACTTAAATTATTTTTACACTGGAGCTGGGGCAAAAAAACACCAAAAATCCTTCTTCAGGTTTTGGACTAAAATTGTCCATCTCCATGGACACTTTTAGTCCAAAACCTGAACAACAGCAGGGATAATAATAATGAGCATTTATCTTGTCTTTTGTGAACTTCTCTGGTCTAATTTTCCTGCCATGGCAGGCTGGAAGCTACTGAAATGGAGGGTATTTTGAGAAGACATACATCAGCTCCTCCATCATATTTCTTTTAGCTCTTATTTAATTGTGAGGGGTAAACACCAAAGTTCAGAGAAGAATCCAAAAATCCTAAATTGTTACCATCTTGCAATCCCAAGATGGACTAGAACATAAATGTAACATTTCCTGAGAATTTACCATTTTATGACTCCTCTTGGACACAAAATACTGTGTCTTATAGTTTTGGATAAAGTGGTGTTATTTTCATTATTCTGGAATTATCCTTTTGGAAACTACTATCAAATGTTGTGCACAACCATGTCATAAACTACTGACAGTTTGAGTCTTTTATGTGAACTACCTAGGGAACAATGAAAGCTGAGCAGTTCCAGTATGCTATAGAAAAGCTCTTTCATAAAGAGAAACTATTTTCATCAGTGGATCAGAATAGCCACATATACTGCTTCCCATCTTTGATTCTCAATCAGTATTGATGCTGCAGCGCCTACAGTCTTTTAGGATTAGAAATGATGGTGGAAGACAGCTATTTTTATTTCCCTCTGCTTTTGCTGTATAATGATTATACATTATCAGGGCAAGAATATGTTCCTGTTTTGCTCCTCACTTTGTATTTATGAACATTTTATAGTAGTACTTTGAGACAGATGGACTGGACTTGGAACCTTGGGTAGTACAATTTTCTCTGTGCCTCTTTTCATGAAGACACAGCAGAAGAAAAAAACACCAGTAAATAAAATAGAACTGCAGTCTAGTAGGAAAAGAGGAAAGTTCCCTGAATTTATATTCACTTCTGTAAAATACAATCCTATCACTGTGAATTTGTCACATTTTATTTATGGCAAGTACAGCTACGTGCTATTTAGTATGTCAGCAACAGAATCAGACTCGGTGTGCTCACTGTAGCATTTAGGTGGTTTTGAGATTGCTGTTGGAGTAAACAGATGCCAATAAAATGAAAGTCAAACTTGAGGATTTGTTCTTCCTTCTTTTGGATAAAACTTATAGGCTTGCCTGTCAAATACTTGCAAATAAGCTCTTTACTAATACTCCACTAAGTATCCTCTGGAGGGTGATGTCATGAAGGATGTAAGGTTCCCTAGGTCAAAACTCAGAATTCAGCAATAAGAATTAACAGGATAGCTTAATTCCAAGCAAATTTCCTCTTGACTATCAGTAACAAGAAACTTCACCCTTTTAACAGAGAGGCTATGGGGATTTTCAAGGCTACAGGACTGACTGTTCAGCAAACCTGAACATCTGCTTTCAGTTTCTGCTTTGAAGTTTTCCTCATGAAACGGAAAATTCTTACAGTTCAACATAATAACCTATGTGGTGTCAGAAAACCAATCTCCTTGTATGTGCAAAATTTAGCAGAGTGGAAAATCAGCCGACAGGAGTGACAAAAATAGCGGGATGAAAATGTATAAATTCCCATGTGCTTGCAGACTCCAATTTGCTGCTGTGCTATGAAAATCTCCATCCTTGCGGAGACAGAGACTCTAGACACTAAGCATATTTTAGGACACAGAACTAGTCTTCTTCCTACTTGCATTCATCTTTAGAGTAGCCAGAGGTGTAGATTTAAGGCTTTTTATATCTAGCCATAAATTGCAGGAGGACTAATGCAATGTAAGGATACACCACCTTAAACTCTGTCTGTTCTTTTGATTCCATGGCCTGTGGACTTGCCTGAATGAGCAGCTCCCCTTCTATGGTGCTCTGGCTTCTCTGGTGCTACACCTGAGGAAGTGATTTTTCAGGACTGTTTGCCTCAAAATATGTAGATAAATGCAAACATGTTGGTCACAAACATTTGTGCACTTATCAGTCCATGTGACTGCAGAGAATTTTGAAAAAAGTGCAAAGAAATGTATTTTTTTGTATTTTTTGAGTATTCCACCTCAGCTCAGCTCTTCGTTACCTACCTTCAGGAAGCATGCAGTTTCTGTTTATTGCCCTAATATGAAAATATCCCAGTTTTCAAAGGGATTTTCTTTCTTTGAATTAGAGAGAATTACGGCAAGAAGTAGAAAAACAAAGGCAAACAGTGGCCGAGGGCAAAAAGTAAAACTTTTCTGTCATCAGAAAAACTCACAGAATTATACAAAATTATAAACCTGCAGAAATGGTTTGATGTAGGATGTCTAATGACCAAGTTGTAGAAGTTGAGTTGAAAAAAATACATAAAGAATATATGCTAACTTTGACTCTGTGCTGCATTGTGTAAAGGGAAGTAGTCAGGGGATGATACAGGAGAGGCACAGACAAGGGTCTGTTTTCCTTCCACACACCCTGTGAGTGCAGCTGGTGCTGGCCCTGACCATCCAGGGGATGCAGCTGGAGACAGCTCGCTCTGCACTCCAGCAGGCACCCCACTGCTTCCACCCTCACACCTCACAGAGCATTTAAAAACCTGGTGAGAGACAAGCCTAGGAGGCTGGCTTACAAATGCTTTCATAGCTCCATTTATAGCTTCTCTATGTCAGAGTTGAAGAAGTCTTGAGGGAGACAGACAACAATCTACCACCTGTAGGTGCAGTCTGTAGATGTGAGCAAAGATTAGATCAGCATGACATACTTCCAGAAATCATCCTAAAATTATCAGCCTCTTTTAGATGCTCTTAAGAGAGTCTGAGAGCTTTCATAGATAGGTTAAAAGACAGATTCTGGGTTATTATGTTCTTCTAAGCACCATGGAACATCATCTACCAATATGTGACGCTACCCTATTTAATTTCTAAAATTTCAGAAATCATCCTAAAATTATCAACCTCTTTTAGATGTTCTTAAGAGAGTCTGAAAGCTTTCAAAGATAGGTTAAAAGACAGATTCTGGGTTATTATGTTCTTCTAAGCACCATGGAACATCATCTACCAATATGTGACGCTACTCTATTTAATTTCTGAAATTTTTACTGTCTTATTTAGGGAAGGATACTTTGAAAAATCAGGTCAAGTTTGTTACACTGGATTGTGCTTCATACATGACTATACCAGCCAGCAAGGCATCTAGTAGGACATGTGTGGTGACAAAAGCCTAACTGTTGCTCACTGAAGAGTGACAGCAGTATTTGACTCCATACTGAATTAAATTTTAAGAATATCACCAGTGATATGACAACAATCGTTTCTGAAGCTTTGAAACTTTATTATGTCAAACCAACATTTCTCAGGACTGGCAAGTTAATAAGAAAGCAAAGTTATATATAGGGTCTAAGGGTTACCCTATCAGCAAAAAATGAATGACTAATACAAGAGGCAGAGAGACAGCCAACATGAATTTTTATTGACACTTGATACCCAGCAAAGTAACCTCTGCCTCTAGCTGGGCAATAACAGGAGTGTCATTGTTGAGCTCCTTAGACTGATACCTCTAGACTTAAATATAGTAATCCTTTTTCCTGTTGTTTTGTAGGACCAAAAAAAGTGAATCAAAAATAGGTTCTTTTTTTTTCCCTAGGAATCTTAATTGCTTATGGAACCTTGTGAGACTCTATTCTTAAATAAAAGCTGAAATATAGATATGGCAGGGGAAATGTGGGTTTTCAATGCACAATAGGAAATCAGGAAACACATGAACCTGGGAACAGTAACAGATTGCAGCAAGATAGGGGCCAGATGTGGAAATGACTAGGACCCTTTTAGGGATTGTTCAAATCTGTCCATCTCTATGGATTCTCAAACGTGTGTGCTACAGACAGTTCAGAAATGGTCTCCAATGTTTCGTAGATATAGGAGTGTTAAATGGCAAAAGGGTGCCTTAATAATCACAGGTCATATCCCCAGCAGCAGTGTTTGCAGCCCGACATTTCAGCAGCTTTCTCCAAGGCAGTGTATTGACATAGAAATTGAATGGAAGAATTTCCACCACCTTCTTTGCAAAGGTGAATTATATATTATGTCAATAATTAGGTTATTTTATAGCAGAGATGTAGCCACAGGAATTTCATTATGAGCATTGTGCTTAATTGTTCTCCTTTCATAATCCAAAAATTAAGCTATATATTAAAATAGTTTTCATTTTTTGAAAAAAGCAAATAATGCTTCCATGGTAGCCAGGTTTTTTATATACTAGAGACAATTGCTATTAAGAACTAATGCTTCCCTGTGAAAACAGGATTCCATCTCTGTGGGAATAATTATGTGGAGTATTAGAGACTTATTTAAGAAGGATTTTGTTCAGCTGTGGCACAAGCCCTGCTGGGAACTGGAATGGGCCACAGGAACTGTAGCCATTGTCACCAAAAGAAGTGTGAAGCCGCAGCCTTCAGTTCCTAAATGCCCAAGATGGTGTCCTCATCCCATTAAACCCCATAGCAAATTTTCTTTTTGCTGCATAAAGGCAAAGCTTTTCCACAATTGCCATATGACATGGAGAACATTCAGTTTCACTGTTGGCTGGTACATCCAATTGTTTGTGTCACTGTTTGAAAAAAAACATTTTCCCCAGTAGCAAGACACATCCTGTCCCTATGAGTTACACTGGTCAGATGTTCTTGAGGATTGCAGTAAAAGTCAACTATTGAAACAGTCAGAGCTAAAAGAAACTCCTCCACTTCCCTTTAAAGAGAAGGTATATGTGGGAGAATTACCACCAGAGAAACCAGTCTCTATTTAGCATCTCTACATTTCAGGGTTCACCTACTGCTGGTTGTATTTTAATCTTCCTCTGTTGTTGTTTACAACTTTCTAGCTGGACCCTCAACTTTTGACCTGCCTGTGGCTCTGATTGCTCTCATTACTGTATGTTATTCTTCTATACTCTCATAATCTCCTTCCCATTTAGTGTGTTCTATTAAGTTCTATGAATGGCATGGATCCTTCCTCTGCTGAACAACAAATGGATTTCTGTAACTGGAAATATGACAGGAGGAAGTAGGCAGAGGGCAAACTATGTAAGAGAAACACCTGTGAGACAATAGGAATCATCTGACTTCAGAACTGTTTTTTTTACAGGGCTAGACATCAAAAAATTTCTCTCCACAACTGAATATATTTCTGTTACTTATATGTAAGCAATCATTCTTGTTGAATTGTTGTTGCTTGATGAAAGAATATTTTATGCATGGAGTTAGTAAAAAAGAAAATTTCCCTGGAAATTTTTTACCTTCTAATTAAAAAGGCAAATAAATGAAAAAAAAAAAAAAACCCAAGCCAAAAAAACCCCCATACTATTTTTCTCAGAGATGTATTTGTTTAACATTTCACCTGTGCTACACTTTGTTTTAACAAAACCATACCAAGATGTGTCATGTCAGTTTGCTTTGATGTCCAGTCAAAAGCATCCTTCCATTTCAGTGAGCTGCAGTCACATATCACAAGAGGTGTGGTCCAGCAAGGAACCTGGCTCCTAACATTGAATTTGAGAAGAAGAATGCTCTAAACAGCTCTGCTGTGGTAATCTGTGTCCATATCAAATGGTTCATTAACAGCTAGATTTTTGTGTGTTTATTTTTGCTTGTTAAAAGTCAACATTTTTTTACTGAAAGTTGAAACTTAACAAAATGGTGCTCTCCTGTGAGGGCCAGGAGTTGGACTAGTGGGTCCTGTGCAATTCAAAATATTTGTGAAAATATTAATTTATCAATGTGTAGTGTAAGTTTCAATTGCTACCATAATGGGAGTAGGAACATGAACAATACAGGGACTCAGAGGACATCTGTGACCATGAAGTATAATCATAAGACATATTTGATCAAGCATTACTTGAAAAGATTTATATATTATGTAGACTTCATCTGCTACAGACAAAAACTTTTAAAATGTTTGAGTAGAGGTCAAGTGTCCCCTTGAGGAAAACATCTTTAATGATGTTGCAGGAGAAACATTTGCCAGGATTAATAAAGGTATAAATTAAAAGGTTCATTTTAAATATAAAGAAAAGGACAGTCTTTCTTTCTTTCTTTCTTTCTTTCTTTCTTTCTTTCTTTCTTTCTTTCTTTCTTTCTTCTTGAAGGGTCATATTCAGTTAAAATGGGAAATGACATCTTTATAGGACATCTTCCATATTCAATAGACAAACAAAGTGAAAAGAATTTAACAGAGAAGTCACAGCTTTTCTCCCTTTTCTCATTTTTTGCTAAGTTAGCCTTCTGGGAGGGACAGCACATCCCTCCAAGGAGCTAACCTTGGGAATTCATTGAGAAATCACAGTAGATTTTTTTTTAACTATTTTCTCTGTTTCTTCAAGACAAATTAATTTCTCTGTTCTACTTGCAATTCCTAGAGATGAGACTTGAAGACTTACAGGCAAAATTAATTTGAACAAGGGATACTTGTATTGACTATGCTGTGAGTCATGCAGTTAATATATTATTTTGTGGAGAGGTCTTGCTTGGTTGGTATTGCAGCACTGTTCAGCATGACTTTTCTGAGAACATGCCTTGTAACGATCAATTATTGGAGACAAAAAATACAGCACTATTCCTGCCATCCAGTGGTACTCACCAGCACAATCAAATCCACTGCCTTGGTAGCCCTGCTTACATTTGCACTGGAAGGATCCCGGGGTGTTGAGGCACTCTGCATGGAGGTTGCACCTGTGTGTGTTTGTCACACATTCATTTACATCTGGGGGGAGATAGAAACGCTTCAGTGAAAACTGTGCTGAAAGCCAAGGCTCCTGACAGCCTGTTTGTGCCCCCATCTCAGCCAGGTACTGTAAGCTCTAATGTTAGACCAAGCCAGAGCAGTGGCCATCAGAGGCAGAGGATTCACACTAGGACAGAATGCTTGGTGTCCCTCCAAACACGCAGATGCTGGCGTATGCATCCATGGAAAATGTCCATCCCAGTAAAGACAAGGTGAATGCAGTGTTTTTCTGACTGAGGACAGGATTCAAACTACAGGTTACACACACTCTTCTATTAACAAAATTCACCAAGTACCAAGAGAATGGGTGACAGCAGTTAAAAAAGAGCTCACCAAAACATTCTCATTTTTTCATTCACTGTAGAAAGAATGCAATGGAAAGTAACCCTGAGTGTGCCAAGATGTTAAGATCTTTAAGCTACCTCTCGCATTCCAGCATATATATATGATGCTGCATGAAAACAAGTTATAAGGAAAATTCAGTAGAAAATACTACATTCAACTCACAGCAAAATGTACAGGCACAAAGAATATTTGATTTTGTTCCGTTACAAAGATGTTTCTGATTTATCCCACATGAGGGAGTCATGTTGGTGCACAAATGTTTGTACCATTCACATTTTATCCAGATTGCATCATTTTTAGCAGCTGACAGGTCCTCTCATAATGTAAGTCAACAAACAAACAAGTAGCAGGAAGACTGACTCAAAAGTCTGGTGTGTCTGAAAGTGAGATTTAGGTTTGCAAATAAAATCCTCGCCACTGAGACCATTTTGATTTTTCTCCCATGCATACATATGAGAAAAGAAAATATTTTTCCCACTTGAAGTCTCTCAGGGTTTGCAGACTTGAAATGCAAACTTAAGTCTCCAAACCTACGTTATGATCTTCCTCCCACTCCTCACTTCCAATATCAATTAAATATAAACAAATCCCATTAGTTCTCTTTCCTATGCACATGTAGTAGTTCCAACACTTCCAGGCCCTTGTGTAGGCAACAGCTTGAAGAATACTCCTGCAGCACATGCTGCAGTAACTTATATTTTGCTGTTCTTCCAGCATTCAGCTAATGGATTGAAACAGGAGTTAAGCATGCTTTGACATTTGTTTTAACACCTGAGCATGTCAACATAACTTTTTGCCTGTATTTATTTTTGTTAGGGAGAAACTTGTTCGTGCAACAGAAACCTGAAAAGTAATTGAAACCTGCTATTTCCATTCTTTTCTTTTTCCCTCAAGTTCTGTTCAAACCATACAAATAACTGTTTTTACAGTCATTAAGACACTTACTTCACATTCCTCAATAATGACATGGAGAAAGGAAAAAAATACAGTGAGACTGCTTATTCATCACAGTTTGAAACCAAGACAAAAAAATGGTTCTTTAACTAAACCTTTACCAGAAGTAGCATTTTTTTAGTCAACAGTTGCCAACTTAGAGCAAGCTCTTGCACATCTTGACTTGGCACGATGAGGGAATTTAAATTGCAAGTGCCAGTGATTTGGTTTTTCACAAGTCTACAGAAAAAAAAAAAAAAAACACCAAACAAGAAAAACCAAAGAAACCCAGAGAAAAATTCAAAGTCCCATCAAGAACATTCTTAGTGTGACACCTTTTACCCATTTTTGAGGCAGCATCCCCAGGACAGGACAACGTGCTGGGGGCATCCACAGGGAAGATGTGCTCTGTGGGAATGGGCTAGCCCTTACCTGCACAGTTGTAGCGGCCGCTGGTGTATTTCAGTTCATATCCCAGCTGGCACTTGCAGTAGAAGCTTCCAAACGTGTTGACACATCTGCGGTTGTACGAGCAGACAGCTTTGCCAGTGGAGCATTCATCAATGTCTACAGCAGGAGAAGGGATGCTGGTCAGATCCATGGGAAGGTAAAATAGGAAAAAACTCACTGGGATTTGCATGAGACTGATTTGTTCTTGACTGTCACAAATAAACTTAATAAATAAATCTTATAATTTCACATTTGGTGATGGCTTTCACAAGTGTTCTTATGAGTGAAGCAGTGAAATGTGAACTAACTTTATGGAAGAACACAGTACCAAGTATTATAAGCAATGCTTTCTTCATCACTGGAAACTCACAGGCAATGTTGAGGCTTCTGGAGAAAAATTGAGAAGTTTGTATCGTGGGTCATCACAATAAAAGAAAGCCCTATCCAAAGAAAATGCCCAAATCCTTTAACACATTATGTCAGCAGGGCAGCTTCCTGCAGGCAAAGCACAGTAATTAATGGCCTCATACCAATAGGGAGAAACCAAATCTGTGGATGACTCTAAATTATGTCAAAACATTGTATTATTTACTGGGGATGAGAGTTATCCAAAGAATCACATGGCCAATAGTTCAAGAAAAATTATTTTTAAAAAAAATATTAAAACTTTACATCACACTGAGAGTAACAAAAAGCATTATTTAAGCCAGCAAGGAAGGTTAACTACTTCCTAATCTTTCCCCAGAATCTTATGGCTTTTTATGGGGATCCTGCAGAAAAGAGCTGAGAGTGAGCTCTCTAAACATACCAATGCATGTCCTTCCATTTGGTCCCAGCTGAAGGCCACCTGATGGACAGAGACACTGCACCTGCCCTTTGACTTCTTCACATCCATACTGGCAATTCGCCATGGCACATGTCCCAGAACCTGAAATGAGTATTTAAAATAACAAGAAGAGCAAAATTCTAGGCAGGAATCACACAATTTAAAGTTACATATGGAGAAACACACAAATTAATCAGAACAGCAAAAATCCATTCATTATAAAGAAAACTGTTTATAAATTAACATATAAAAAATTCAGGAGTCTATGAGATATTTTCTACAAACAAAACCCTCTCACCAAAAAATTAGAAGCTTCCCCAGGTCTGAAAAATCTGGCTGGCTAAAAAAGCAGAATGCTTTCCATTTCATGCTGGCTTAAAGACAAAGAATGTAGGTAGAAATACTTATTTTCATAAGTTTAGATAAGCCTTAGATCATACAGCAAATGTTTGCAAGAACAGTTTTCAGCAACTGTCAAAAGCATATTAACACAGATAAAATATATCAGTTGTGGAGCACAGAAAGGTAAAGCAAGGAAGAATGGCATGAAATTCAGCAGAGTAAAAAGTAATCTGTATTGGTGCTTTGCTTGAATACATTCATTCTTATTCAACAGATGAACTGGCAGGACTATACACTGAGGTCATTCTAGCTGTTCTTCATCTGAAGCAACACTATCAAAGACTTTTAATTCTGTCAGGACCAAAACACCTCTGAAGACCAAAATATAAGTATGACCTAGTTTGCTTTATCCAGGAACTACCAAATAGGAAGCCTCTTTCAGCTGTGGCAGTACCAGAGAGCAGGGGCAAAGACCCTATTCTGAATAAGTGAATCAGTTCATCACAAGAAGAAAATCTGCTGGGATTAGATGTGGTTAGATGATCTTGGTGTGTCTGTTCCATCAGCTCTATTACTTACTTGCACATGTGCCATCTGGCATGAGCATGTACCCGTTGAGACAATAGCACTTGTAGCTGCCATGTGTGTTCATACATCTGTGCTCACAGGGACGTGGCTTCAGTCCACATTCATTCAGATCTGCAGAAGTCATTGGAACTGAGTGAGTGCTGGGCTTTTTTACATATATTCATGCATAGGGGTGGATAATATTGCCTAATGTGTGGAGTTCCCCAGAGTGAAATTGTCTGGATGGAAAATAAGCCAGCCCCTTGCAAGATGAGAATTTAGCAGACCATCTGGCTGAAAGACTGCTAGTAAAACCAACATACACAGACCTCTACACTTGAAAACTTAATGCAAACTCTGGCCACATTTGGCAGCTTGTTAGGAAGAAGTGGAGGGGTGGAGAGAATCACAGCTAATCTTTTTTTGGGAGTTTTTAATGGATTTTTTCTGGTTCTAACTCTCCAGTTGACCTCTGTATTAAAAAGGCAAAAACATGAGACTAAGAACAGCAAAACAGTTTGAGATAAAGTGAAACAAAGATTTTTACTTTAATTTTTCTGAGCTACACACTGGCACCAAGGTTATCAGTAGCAGAAATGAAATAAAATTTATGATAATAATAATGTGACTTCAAAAGGATCTCAAAAGTCTCAAAATCCTGAGAATAAAACATCCTAAATCCTTCTCAAAATCCAGGATTTAAGGGCTTTTCAGAAACTACATCAATTTCAAATTCCCAACATCTATCCTTCACAGGGAGAAAATGAGAATTCTAAAACGTTTATTTGTGTGGTATAGGGTGAGCAGTGCTGACAATGATATTCGGCCTATGACAAGGGGACAACATCTGTGTTTTTCACTTCCACGACCTACCACCTCTGCCTCTTGCAGTGATTAGTAAATAGATAGAACTCATTAATAGAATGCACCAGCATATGCAGCCTGTTCAATATGTGTTTAACAGGATATATGACTGATAACATAATTTCAGTAAAGATGCAGCTCTCCAGGCAAGCACTGAGCTTGTGCAACTCCATTTCCAATGGGAGAAGCATCTGTTCTTGTGCCACACCCTGCAGACCACAGGAACAAAACCTCCAGGCCATTCAAAGCACAAACTTTGTGGAGGTGCACAAGTGCTTTTTACAGCTCAGTCCAGGGAAGAGAGAGGGTTGCATTCTATTATTCTCACAGGGTCTGTTTGAAAAAGGACAACCTGTCTGTTTGCAAATCACGCTGGATTGTTGTGCTGCTGTGACTCCACTAAATAACTAAGACTCTCTTAACAAAGAAACTACAGAGCAAACTAGAGAACAAAAGTTATTCCACTTAGACCATACATTTTCAAAAGTGCTTATCTGTACCTATCTCTCACAATGCACAGATAGCATACACAGCTCTAAAAAAGAACCTATGGAGATAAGGCTGATTTAGCTCAGACTTGGTGGCAGACTAATACAGTCCCCTTATCTCTGTTATTTTAGTTAGCTCATGTTGAGCTTGCTCAGCAGGACATTCTGCTGTAAGGACAGACCAAGGCTACATCTGCCAGTAAATTGGAAGTGGGTATTAGCACTCCTGGCTGATGGGACATGACCACCTATACAGCCATATTGTTAAAACAAACAGCTCTTGGACACTCCTGGCCAGTATTGGCCACCACCCCGCTGAAAAAATCCTGCTCCTGCTTCAGAAGGTAGAAAAGCCCAGGAGCTAACAGGGAGTCTGTGCAGTGCTTCCTCCGAGCCTCATCTCAGAACCTGCTGAAGTGCACAGGTGACCAGGCTGCCTATGGAGAGCATGTCAAAAGCACATGGAGTTACTGCGCAGAAAGCACCTAAAAGCTGAGGGCTTCTCTCTTGCCTTTTAGAAACATTTCAGCTGCCAAATAATTTTTGAGGTTAAACTTCTGTATTTAGAGGCTGAAGTTGTAAGTGGTACTTATATATCTGTTACATATAACCACAGCTGCTGTTTCTCTTTCCTCTCTAGTGTAGTGAGGAGTTAATTTCTTTCCCCGTGAGAAACAACAAAAGATGTATTTTACCAAAATACTTAACAGCACATCTTTAGAGCATATTGTTTGAAAATACTCTGTAATAAATGGGCTGTTTTGACTATAAAAAATGTGTGTTTAGCGTGTCAATGCAATATTTTCAGGCAAAGTCTGCAGGAGCTTAGGAAGGTAGCAGGGACAGTCCTAGTCATTTGTGTCATGTTTCCATCATAGCACCTACAGTTCACTCATTTGCCTCTCCATGCACAGTGTCCTACTCCTTTCATCTGATCCAAGAGAGGGGTCTCGTATTTTGGAACAGAAAAAAAAAAAGCTGAGTTCTTACCAATTTGTTAACTGAAATATTTTCATATCAAATTCCAAATTTATGGGGGAAAAATGGTGCATTTAAAGTTTCTGAAAATGCAATTCTAAGGATTCCCAATGATGGTTCTCAGAAATACCACCAGCATTTATAAACAGCCCAGGCAGATTGCTAAATTATACATCTACAATATAATTGCAAGTCTTTCTGACTAGAAGAATAATTTAAAAAGAAACATGGGCTGCTAGTTAAGAAAATAACATGGGTTCTGGAATTGGCTTCCATCTCTTCTGATACCTTCCTATATAATCTCTCCATGCCTTAATCCTCTGACTATAAACATGAGTTTGCCCTTGTCATCAGCCCATAGGAGATAAACAATATAGTTTCAAACTTTTGTCTGCTGAAGGAGGCTTAGAGCTTGCCTGGGATGCTGGAGATGCAAAAGTCTTAAATTCTTAAGTTCTTCTACTAAATGTCCTGGTTTACTGCTTTGGAAGATGACAAAAACCATAGTACAAGACAAGGAAACAGAAAACCAACAGTCTCCTTTCTGGAGCATATGCACAAACCTTGATTACAGGATTTCCCTGTAAATCCAGGGAAACATTTGCATTTGTTTGGTCCCATGCACTCGCCATGCTTGCAACCATGTCCACAGGTAGCTGGTGGAGTCAGGCAGAGAAAGGAGAGAGAAAAAAAGTTAGAAATATTCTATTTGAGAACTTTTGCTCTGCTTAGTTGCCTAAAAGGTTTTGCATAAGTTCAGCATCCTCCACACTACTCCCTCTAGTCTGAGCACAGTAACTACTGATTAACACTTTATTTGGGCTTGAAAATAGGGGCACTAACATTAATTACAATAATTTGGTTTTTTCCAGGTTTGTAAAGACAAAAGGCCTTTACACTCTTTTATTTATTTTTCTGCAATGGTTACAAGACACATTTAGTTTTGTACTCTTGCCTTTTTCCTTTTTTTAGGAAGCCTATGTGAGAAGCAGCTGGCCAGCAGCTTGAATTGCCACACTTGGCATCTGGAGCAGGAAAGAGGCAACAGCACTCTCCTAGAGCCAAAGCACACACATAATCCTATAGCAGTTTACAGTCTTGGAACTCCTCAGTTACAGCTGAGGAACGTGTCTATCCCATGGTGGAACATCCAGAGCACATCTGTCATCAGGCAACTGTCCTTAGCACACATCCCAGCAAGTATATTTGCATCATGTTTACAATAATTTGAGAGGGCAACATTTAACCTGGATGCATTAAAAAGCAACTCTAATTCCTCTGGATCAGCAATCAGAAATTAAATGCTGACTTCTATAAGCCTTAAGCCTCCTGAAATCACTTTAATTGTCAGCATGGGTGTTATTCAGGAAGAGCAAACATGCATTTATAGCAGGACTATCTCTGAGGAAACAGGGAAAGAGTGTGCACCAGGATGTGAATTTCGATTCCTTATGTAGTTAAGCTGATCTGCAAACTATAGGAACGTTTAGTTACTATATGGTAAAATTAATATTAAAATTATTTTTTCTGAATTCAAGTATCTTCCCTACCTTAACAGATACATTCAGATGTACTGAAGGTACTAACTCTGCAGATTGAGGCATTTTTCTACACTTCTTCCAGCCCTGAATGCAATGTGGCACACTGCAAGACCAGCTTGCTCCCCTGGGATCCAAAGCATCCCTGCTTGGGATGTTCTCCCATGGCATGGACACATTTCTCTTCTGTAACTGAGACTGCAAAAAACCAGCTTACAGTGTTAGCACTGAAGCAGTGAAAACCAGCACATCTGGATTTACAATGCAGAATTACATTATAGGTGGCTTAAAGTGACTTGCCAAAGAAGAATCTTCAAATTTTATGAAAACCTATTGCTTTAAAACAAGACAACCTACTTCACTGGCTGATCAAAAGCTACATTTGCCAGTTATCTCTCCAGGTATTAATTGGCATGAAAACTAAAGTGCAATTAAGCAATGTAAGAAATACTACAATAATCCCTTTTTTCTTTTTTAAAAATGGCATATCATATATAGAGAGCAGAGACATTTTAACATCTTTCCCTTTTAGCATATGGATGTTCAGCAATGAGTAATCTCAAGCCTCTATACACATTCGCTAGATATAAAAGGCCAAACTCTCTGGGACAACAAGTGCAATATCTGAAAAAGATCTAAAACATATATTTTATGATTTTGTTGTGTTTTGCCCACGTACAGCTGGAGAGAAAGATTCAACACTGCATTCTCCTTGGGATATGTAGACCTTCCACAAATTAGAAGTGTCTTAAGAGTCATTGTGTCTTCATTAAGCAAATGATCCACACACCCGAACACTGGCTGGCTACCCAAGCTCAAGTCAGGGCACTTATTGCTTGAGTTTTATTTATGTTTTTAGAAAGTTAAAATCCTCTGGTTCTCAGAGGCTGTGTAATCTGAAGATAAAGGACACCAACTGATATTAAATCATTTTAGGGGTCCTTATAGAGCATTAGAAAACTGCATTTATGGCACGTACTCAACAGCTGTAACAGCGTAGCCACTGACCAGGGCTGTGCAGGAGGTTAGAACAGATGGTGCCTTCTGGATCTAAGAATTTCTGCACGTGCAAGTTATGGTTTGGTGTTATTTACCCAAAGTTCTGGGTAAATACCATTTTTTTGAGAAGATGGTCCCTCAAGCATGTTTTATCTGCTCTCTCACAGATTTGGAGATTTCACTCCTCAGGAGTTTTCCTTCTGTAACTTCTGGCAGACATGTAAGAAACCTCCTTATTAGTACCAAATACACAGCAGCAGAGAGGAACCAAGCAGAAAGTTAATGTTACCTTCACAGTGGCCCTTGTTCTTTCTCCAGCCAGGACAGCACTCCAACCTGGAGCCGTAGCGGCACACCCCAGGCTGGCTCACAGCCCCCAGCTGCCCACGAGCTCTCGAGCTGTGTAAGGAAGGACAAACAATAACTCCAGGAGGAAAATGCTCTAATCCATTCCTCTGCATACCCCTCTGTACAATTCTCTTATGTTTTATCCACTGTCAAGCATTTTCATTTCACCAAACCTAGAGCGGTGTTCCTAGACAGGAATACAAACTTCCATTTGACCAGAGAAACTGGGAGGATGGGAATGTTTCACCTGCAATAAATTAACTGTGCAAGGTCAACCCTTTCTAATGAGAAACATGGCAAAGGCAAAAAATACAGCCAGCTCCTTGCAAGAATGAGTCATCTTAATATCAGTGAAGTCAATAGGGCTGCCTCAGTTTGTGTCACATGAACAACTGGATCAAATACATGATGCCATAACTGAGAGCACTGTTGCCTCAGATGATGAAAGACTGATTCTACAGAAAAGCTTGTTGAGAGTATCAATCAGCCCCATAAAAGCTAGCAACTTGCAGGCTCATAGCCACTGCATACATGCAAAGTGATTGCATAAGTGCAGACAGACCCAAACATTCTGGTTGCATGAGAGTCCCTGACCATACAAATTAATGTTAATTTCACCTGCCAATAAGCCCAGGGGGTTCAAAGTCATTGTGCAGATCAACAGCTGCAAGAGTTGGAAAACCTGCAATATTAGTTGCCAAAATTATAAATCTGATGGAAATTCACAACTGTGTAAATCTTCTAGATCTCTTCTGTGCTGTGGCTTTAGTTCTCCTTCTCCCTTTGCTTGCTGTTACTTAAGTTGTCCACCACATGTCTCTCCCCTTTATGAAATTCTTTTCTTTATCCAAAATCCTCTGTCCCCATTGCTTTATCCAAGTCATAACTTAAAATGCATTTTCTTCAGAGAGTGCAAAATGCTGGTTTTGACCCAGAAAATTCCTGTTTGGTGAGAGCTTTGTAGTAAGTGATTTGGGGTCCTGAGGGGGGACAATACACTGCAACAGAAATCTCATGGTGGGGAAAAAATGGTGGAAAAAAGCCATCAGGCATGAAGTTTTGCATTTTTTAGTCTGAGGCACAAAAAAGGTAATATTTTACCACATTGCAGGAGTGCTTTGCCTGTATCCTCCTGCACTTACCTGTAACAGTTGCACTCACACCAAATCAGTTCCTGCAAACATCACTGAGGCAAACTAGTAGAACAAATATATGCATACACTTCAAAGACACAAGGTGTTACTCCAGAGATTTCTTTAGTAGCTGAACCATTGGAACTAGAAGGGAGTTCAGAGGAAATGCATAAGCTCATGTATCTGAGATACTCTATACAAAGAGATGGTCTTCATGTCACCTGGCAAGTAAAAAAGCTTCAGTGCTGGAATAAATTGTCCTGAAGCCACCCAACCTTTGCCACCAATGCAGTGATGCAGTTTACAGGAGTACATGTTCTGGTACATTAACATCTTCAGACAGGTGAAAAAGTGTGTTGAACAGCTCTAACTCCTCTGTGTCTGTGACAAATCATCACCCTGCCTCTGCATCCTATAGACAATAAAAGAACATTTTTCCATTTTGTTATCCACATGCTGCTGCCTTACATCACTTGCAAGTATACAAATTAAAGAATATATGTTCTGCTTGCAGACTAGAAAGTGGCCTTGAATTCACCTGGATAGTAAATGTACATTATGCTTGCATCTAAGAAAATCCCTTTGAATGCATCTGGATAGTGCTATGACTCCCCTGGGAGGTTAAAATGCCTAAAGCCTGGAGGAAGCAGGATCTCATTCCTTTCCAAAAGGTGCTCATTTTCACAGGAAAAACTGATTCAGTAACATTTTATTTATTAATTTATTTCAAAAATTTAAAAAATAATGTCATTATAAAGTATACAGTATTTCTCAAGGTTTCAGAACAAACTTTTTTTAAAACTGGGAAATGTTCCATAAAGCTGCAAATTAAATTAACATAGCTGAACTCTATAAATATTGCCCTGGACAAGGTTGAAAGATTTGTTCTGACTTCCACAACAAGCATCAAGATAAAACTTACCTTTGGCAAAGATCAACCAGATCCCAAAATCTGTGAGGAAAACCAGTTTTGCCAGGTTAGTCCCTCTAAAAAGAATCAACATGAAGAATCAACACCCACAACTTAGCTATTTCTATCAGGAGTTAAGCACTAAAAAAAAAAATTAGAAAGAGGAGATTCTTTCAGGTAGGCAGACCTTTTCTGGGAGAATGTCACATGGACCTGCCTGGATATTGGGGAAGCAGTAATGTGGACTGGAGGCATAGGGCACTTCTGATCCCTCCTTGTCTCATACTCCTGTAGGATTTCAGAGGAACTACCTAAAGTACCTGAATGAGATGGCTGGACTTATCACAGTCTGCCAGTGTGCAAAAAATCCCTGGCCTTAAGAATCTGCAGCCAAAAAATGTGACCAAAAAAGAAAGGCAAGAGAACGCACACTGTGCAGGTTAGATCACAGCGCAGTGGAAGAGTGCTGTCTGAAGAACTCTGTCCTCTGAGAGGCAGCACCAGTGCTAAAGGTAATAAGTGGCTACTTAGCAGTCCAGGGTGCCCAGGGAGGAGTGAAGTAATTGACTTTTTGTGGCTGTGGTATTGCTGACAGCACTATGAGACATTTAGCAAAGAACAGTGAGGATGAATAGTAACCACAACAGCTGCCTGAATTGAGGAGACTGAAATAAAGAGCTGGCTGTATTAGCTGTCACAAGATTGCTGTGCGCCATTAGCACCATTTTAAACTAAGAGGGACTGAGTTGCACTGCTGCTGTAACCTGTATTGCTGTTATGGTTTAGGAATGGAATTCCCCAAATCAGTCCCCTCACCAACTCTCTCCACAACCACATGCCACCCTCTCTTACTCCCCCAATTTCCCCACACTCTCCCCCTTGCAGCAGGATGGAGATGAAAATTCAAGGCACAATAGGCAAAGATCGAAGGCTGAGGTAAGAACAATTTACTGGAAACAGCAATGAGATAAGGAAATGGACAGTAACAGCAACAATACTAATGACAGAAGGTAGGAGAAAAGAAACATTTTACATGAAAATACCCCAATAATAGACTGGACAGGCTCCCTCCACCACGTTTTTTTGACTGGAAGGAATCCCTTTTTCCTGGAGGACAGTTCTTTTTCCTTCACCCTCGACAATGGTGTGAGGTGGTATAGAATAACAAATGTGCTTTCTCTAAACCATAAGAGCAGATCTGGATTTCGTGAACTTCCAGTTCCCGAGGAGCTGACCACTCAACAGCCTCACATGTGCTGGAACAGCACACTGCCACTTGCTGATGACAAATGTTTCCATTCACAGATCTAATATTAAAGAAATAAACCACAAAACATCTTGAAGGCTTCACATGCAGTTGCTGCGAACTCTCCCTTTACGAGCTATTCCCTTGCTGCAGCACTTCTGCTTGTCGAGAATTGGGAGAGGGAACACTGGAACGGCTTGGTGTGGAGTAGGTGGTTTTATTGATCCTCTCTCAAAATCTCGTTCTGTTTCCAACGCATACCTGTCTCCACAGAGCCCAGCATCTGTGATGAGAGGCGGCTGGCGAAGGGCCGTTTATGCTGGCAGACCAAGAACTGGGGGTGCTCACACCTTTCCACAGATGGTGCATCTATTCCCCGACTGGGACCGCAACTTACGCTGCCGCTTTTCCCAGAGCACGCGTGCCCAGCTCTGGTGGGAGCGGCTCGGGGGAGCGGCTCACACGCCCGCTGGAGCGCACGGACCGGGCGGGCGCTGTTCAGCACCACGGCCCCGGGACCGGCCGGCGCGGACCCGACACCCACGGACCCGACACCCGCGGGCCCGCCGGGAGCAGCGGCACCAGCCCCGGGCCCGCCGGGGAGCCGCGGCGGGCGGGGACGGCGGCGGAGAGGGGCGGGGGTCCCGGCCGGAGCGGGAGCGGCCACGGAGCCGCGGTGGTGCTCCCCGGGGAAAGCCGAGCCGCTCCGGCGGGCGGTACGAGCCCCGGTACAACCCCCGGCACAAACCCCGGTACGAACCCCGGTACGAACCTTTTCTTACAGTGAGAGCGGCCGCTGGTGATTCACCAGTGGCACACCCGGCACCCGCCGGCCCCCGAGGCAGTGCTGCCGTGTGTTCCCATCACCGGGAAATGCATTTGCACCGAAAGGTTTCCAGGCTTTGCCTTGCAGGACCATCCCTGAACTTTTTCCAAGCTGCTAAGTACTAGGATATTAGGAAAAATCTTATTTAGAAAAAACTTCTGCCAAGTTGTTGACGTCTGCTGCTGATTTCTTCAGACTTCTGAAAGTACAAGTGTTCCTGCAAAGTACAAAGTACATCACCTTGTAGAGAGGAGCAGTATGAAGTCAGTTACCAAAAGATGGCAAAATTAGCTCCAGGATTCAAATGACATGTGATTAAAATTCAATCTATTTAAAAGAAACAGACTTGTGTGATACTGTTTATGTGTTGCACAGGATGGTAAAGACTTTTTTTGTCCTGGATGCTGGACACAAAAGCCATTGGTTTGCAGCTGTGCTGCTGTCTTTCTGAAATGCAGCAGTACCTTGAGAGTCCCCAGCTCCCTTCATTAGACTTGTCTTCCTGTATGGGAGGAGTAGTCTTTTGATTTTAGTTAAATCAGCACCATGTAGAAAGCATACTAATTAGGTAAAACAGAATTCAAAGGCTCATAGTTTTTATTATGCATATTTATTCCAACAAATAGGTATGAATGTATTATTTGAGTCTAAGCTTGCCACTAAAATGTTTATTGATGTTCAAGACAAGTTTTTTTGGTCAGAAGACAAATAATTTCTGAACTGCAATGCATGCAGTCTGTTATGAGGTATAATTATTTCCTCAAAAAAAAAAAAAATTTTCTTACAGAGTGACGTGTGGATAGGTCTGTCTGCCCTGGTGGTCCCCAAGTAGTATTTCACATTGCCTGGTGGAATGGAACTGTTCCTGGGTCTCCCCCATTCCCTGTGATTTATTAAGGAAATGCTCATTGAGGATGTAGTCATGGCTGTCTCTCAAGTGAAAGCTAATGGGCAGTTTCTGGACTATCCTCCCAACCTTGCTCTGAGCTCTCACAGGA